TGTTTACTAAAGACACTGTAAGTTTCCCTCAAGGAGCCTTATTGTTAAATAAATAGATATATACATGTATTTGTTAATTTGAAGTGAAGTGACACATTTTCACAAAGAAAATATTATGTTTGTGAAAATATTAATTTTTATTGATTGATAAATTATTGTATTTCACTGTTGAAGTGTTAAATGAGGGGATCACTTTCAGTTTGTGTAAAAAACAATTTTTAGCTCACCTCAACGAAGTTGGGGGGAGCTTATGTGATACCCTCGGCGTCGGCGTCGGCGTCCCGGGTTAAGGTTAAGTTTTTTGGAGCAGTTTTCTTTTTAAGTACTTCTATGTCCTATATTGATTAGACATGCATGGAAGATGTTTCTAGTGTGTTTCATTGTACCAGTCAAAGTTTCAGATGCTGCAATTTCAGCAAAGGAATGACCAGGTTAATGTTTTTGGTGCAGGTTAACATTTTTGGTGCAGTTTTTGGTGTAGGTCTCATTTCCGAGTAACTATAAGGCCTATGTTAACCAAACTTACATGGATGGTACATCTTAGGATGCATACTACCAGACTTGCTTCGGATGCTGAATCTGACCTACATTTTCCGGTTGAGTGAACAGGTTAAAGTTTTTGGTGCAGGTTTCATTTTGCAGATACTATGAGCCCTATAATGACCAAACTTGCATGGATAGTACATCTTAGGATGCATTCTACTAGACTTGCTTCGGATGCTGAATCTGACCTACATTTTCCGGTTTAGTGAACAGGTTAAAGTTTTTGGTGCAGGTTTCATTTCCAAGTTTCTATGAGACATATAATGACCAAACTTCCATGGATGGTACATCTTAGGATGCATACTACCAGTCTTGCTTCTGTTGCTGAATCTGACCTACATTTTCCGGTTGAGTGAACAGGTTAATGTTTTTGGTGCAGGTTTCATTTCCAAGTTACTATGAGCCCTATAATGACCAAACTTGCATGGATGGTACATCTTAGGATGCATATTACCAGACTTCCTTCGGATGCTGAATCTGACCTACATTTTCCGGTTGAGTGAACAGGTTAAAGTATTTTGTGCAGGTTTCATTTCCAAGTTACTATGAGCCCTATAATGACCAAACTTGCATGGATGGTACATCTTAGGATGCATACTACCAGTCTTGCTTCTGTTGCTGAATCTGACCTACATTTTCCGGTTGAGCGAACAGGTTAAAGTTTTGGGTGCAGGTTTCATTTCCAAGTTACTTTGAGACATATAATGACCAAACGTTCATGGATGATACATCTTAGGATGCACACTAATGGACTTGCTTCAGATGCTGAATTTGACATACATTTTCCAGATAATAGATCTCGTAAAAGTTATGGGTGCAGGTCTATCACCAAGAAACTATAAGGTTTATATAAACCAGTTGCACAAATGATGCATCAAGGGATGAAAACTCTCAATCTTGCTTCAGATGCTGGATTTTAATTACATTTTCATGATGAAGAACTAGTTTTAAGTTTTTATATAGGTCTATTCCAAAGTATCAAAATTGCATAAATTTTTCATTTTTGGATGTACACTTTTTGTTGGATAATTGTGTGACTTAATTTGCCTTACTTAAGGACAACATTCATTGAGGTGAGCTCTGTAATCTCTGATTACCTATGTTTTTTACACGTATTTAAAAAAAATGCAAAGCCAATATTTTTTCCAGTTACAGTCAGTTATGGCCCTTTCAGACTTGTAGGTTAACTGGCAGTTTACTTTCTGTTACAGCTTGTCCTAGCTCTATATCCACAGACCACTTGTTTTTACAGAGCTTTAATACATGAACCGCCTCGGAAGGTATGCTTCCTTTCTACATAATTCTCAAGCCAACCAAAGGAAAATCACAATATTAAATTAGAAAACATGTTAAAGCTGAGATATTTAGAAAGATTAAAAACGGGGATGTTCAGTCTTGGTTTTATACAATGTAGCTATAGAAAAGAAGCACCTGTCCAGTTTATTTAAACTATACATATTTGTACAATGCTTGTTTTTATAATTACTAATATAGATTATCATTATATAGTAAAACAAAGAATGTGGAATTAAACAATATGGATAGTTAGGTTGTCATATCTCTGTTTTATTCTAGCCTCAAGATGATTACTCTGTGCTGTTTGAGGACACGTCTTATCCCGACGGTTATTCCCCGCCCCTCCTGGTGGCCCAGAGATATGTCATCTGTTGTAAGGAGGACAAGAAAAAGTGAGGGGGTCAGCTGTCAGCTGTCAGTTTACTGACCCTATGTGTGTGTGTGGAGTAAGTGGCCACCAAGTGGTTCACAGACGCTCTGTTGACAGACCTGAGTCCTTAGATACAAGGCATCACAGCTTCACTATGTGTTTATGTGCAAAATCATTAGGGCCCCGCAAGGATTTGCGGGTGCCCTATAGTAATCACTCTGTCTGTCCGTCTGTCTTTCTTCCGTCCACAAATTTCCTGTTTTTTCTTAATAACTTTTTTATGGTTGCCCAATTAAGATCAAATTTGGTATGGTAGTTCAATAGGCAGAAAGACATATTTTGATGCTAAGTTTGTTTCTCTATGTCCCTTGGTTTGGAGCTGGGGTGGTGGGGTATATTCCTTAACTTTATATAAGAATGCTTTGGCAAAGAGAGATAACTGCTGAAGATGTTTCCATTGTAAACTGAATGCTGCAATGAGTTTCTTGGGATTAATTAGCTTTCCTCCTGAAGAAAATCCAAAGCATTATCTTTATCTGTCACATTGAGATTAATTACCACCTCTGTCTGCAAATGAAGTTTGTTTTGAAGTTCAGTCAATTTGGAATGCTATGAACACTCTGAAATGTGGATTTAGATATAAATGTTTATACTTTATTTTGGTTAAAATACCTACACAATGAGTTATGATTTCATTGAATTCTAAAAACAAGAAATAGATTAAAGAAGACATATCTTTTATATTTACTTTTTTCCCTTTATGTAAATTCAAGAATAATATTAATTTTTAAGGTAGTTGGATTATTAAGCCATTCTAATATTAACACTGAAAAAGTTCTTATTGTAACTTTAGAAGAAAATGATGAGAGAGGTACAATTAATCCCTCAGGATTAATTATCTAGCCTGCTGAAGAAAATTTAGTAGGCCTATCTTTATCCGTCATTTTAAGATTAATGAAAAACTTTGTTTGCAACTGCTGTTTGTTTTGAAGTTAAGGTCAAGCCTTCATGATACATGTATTTGCATTCATTGAAGACTGGCATTTTATATAACACAAACACAAACTTCATTATTGTTTATATATACATTCAATGTTAGGTTGTTCTTTACTGCCAGTGCCTAATGTAAATATACAAGGATATTATTTACAGGTTTTTGGATATTCAGGAATTATGTTGAAAATTTTAAGAATACAGTTGCTTATTTTTTCATATATTTTTTAATCATTCCATAAGCTGCATCCTTATAATTCCACCCCATGGCGGGGCCCTTGCTGACTGGTCAGTTTTCTAGTTTCTGCAGTTTTATGCAGATAGTACTCTGTCTGACAAATGAAAAGTGCAATTTACATTAAGCTTATAGATAAAATCATTTGTTACTAGCATGTTATGGCATTTTTAAATAAATACATGTATAAAATTAAGATGTGTGCTAATTAGAAATCATTCCGGATTGATAAGAGGTTCTATTGGTAAATATAAACATTCTGAAGGGTAAGAAATTTATATTGCAACAAAATCTTGAGACTTATTTCTCCAGTATTTTATCCAGCAATAATGAAGACAAGAAAATTATTTTTATTCTGTCGTAGGGATTTTTGATCTTCTATATAGAGAAACACATAGCTACATTTCAATGACATGTTTTTCTTATGTTTAGCATCCACTCCCTAAAATCAAACATCTGTTTTTCTATCTCGGAAAACACACACAAACAAAAGAGAGAAACATAGCATTTCAAGAATAATTGTTGAATTCCTCATTATCATCTGAGAATTTTCCTCCTGTTGTAACTAAAAGAAACTACTAGTTTTTTGGGTTTTTTTAAATATAGTTTTTGGTACACAACTGTTCAAAAGGCAATGTCAAGATTAAATTTTGTTACAAATATTTGTATTTGTTTATTTTCTGCATGACTTTGTTTTCAAAAACCATTCTGTCTGCAGATGGAAAAGACTTGGATTGTCCTAAGGGAGAAGAATGTGATTATTTTGTGTATAGTGCAAAATTATGGAACAAGGTTATAACCCATTTTTATACGCCCGTCTTAAGACGGGACGTATTATGTTATAGGCTTCATGTCCGTCCGTCCGTCTGTCCATTCGTGTCCGGCTCATAACTTGAATACTATTAGACCTAGGATTATCAAACTTTGACAGTTGATACTTCTTGGGTAGACAGTGTGTCGCGCACAAAAAGTAGGTCGCTGTGACCTTTAATAAAGATGCTATGGCCAAATATGGAAAAATCCTGTCCGGCTCATAACTAGAAAACTATTAGACCTAGAGCTTTCAAACTTGGCAAAATTATACATCTAAGGTAGAAGGTGTGTCGCGGTCTATTTCAAGGTCACTGTGACCTTTTATTTAAGTGAATTTTTAAAAAAAAAACTAAGTCTTTAGAATTTTAAATTTCATAATCCTAAAAAATGTAAAAATATAGTTGTATCCTTATTTAAAAATGTTAAATCAAGTAAAAACTTATTTTTTCATTATATACTTTACAGCAATCTGTAACAAATGTTAATGTTTTGAGAGGAATTCAGTTTGTCCCATGGGCATAATTATCAAACACTGGTCAAGAAGAATTTTGATAGCAGAAATTGCATGTCAAATTAGAGAGAATTAATGAGTTTATTGTCAGGAGCGAACTGGTAGTTCAGATCTCTTATAATGCAGCTTTTATCTTTATCTTTAATCTCTTGGGAGTTGGGCAAAAAGAAATGGCCTCAAAGTAAGTTAATTAAGAATTCTTGATGGCTAGTTCAGAAAAAGATCTTTCAATTGGTGTAATGTAATTGAAACAAATTGATGCTTTAAAATACAGTGTATAATAAAAACTAAATTAATATTGCATAATATAATTAAAACTAAGCCTTATTAAAAAATGTTAAATGAAGTAAAAACTTATTTTTTTCATCATTATAATATACTTTTACAGCAAACTGTAGCAAATGTTAATGTTTTGAGAGGAATTCAGTTTGTCCCATGGGCATAATTATCAAGCACTGGTTAAGAAAAATTTTGATAGCAGAAATTGCATGTCAAATTAGAGAGAAATTAATGAGTTTATTGTCAGGAGTTAACTGGTTGTCTAAAGCCCGGTTTACACGCTCTGCTTTTGCAGCTGCTTTTAGGTCTGCATTTTACTCTGCAAAGCAGACAGAGAGTTTACACACTGTGCTTACCATGCCTGCTTTTACTTTATTAGTACGGTATATCATTTCCAGTTATTAGTCACATAACACAGTGGAAGATTTTGATATTTTGCCTTCTCTTTTAATAATCATTATGGTTGCTGCATATAGGCAGCATTTAAGAACTAGAAGGAAAAGTCCTTTTTTGAATAAGATGGGGCTGAAACATTCAATAGATCGGGTTCCTCATGAAACAACTGAACAACTCAGTTAGTCGTTCTTGCTGCTTATTTGTTAACTTTATTTTCTTCTATTCTCTTTTTACCCGCCATTTTCTTTGTTTTTGTTTAACATGTGAATATGCATCTTATCTCATATTAAGTTTATCGGTGATGCTGATTGGTCAGTTACGTCTGCAAAGCAGACTGAAATAGAGCAAGTTCTATTCTGTCTGCTTGCATGCCTGCAATGCTTAAACCCTAGTTTACACGCTCTTCTTTTGCAGCTCTGCTTCAAAGCAGCTGCAAAAGCAGAGCGTGTAAACCGGGCTTAAGAGCATCTCTGTTAATTCAGCTGTTATCTCTTGGGAGTTGGGCAAAAAGAAATGGCCTCATAGTTGCTTGTGTTAATTAAGAGTTCTTGATGGCAATAGCCCAGATAAAGATCTTTCAATTAGTGTAATGTAATTAAAACAAATTGATGTTTTAGTGTATGATTGAAAACTAAATTAGTATTGTATAATATAATTGAAACTAATTATACATGTGTTCATTGAAAAAAAAATTACATTTCAATTTTTATATATTTGCAACAAATTGCAGTCATGTCTCACTTAGAATTTTATAGTCTAAAGAATAATGTATTTTTGATTTTTTTGTTAGACTGTAGCATTTCCATTATTCCAGAAAATTATGCAATTAACAATTTAAAGCTGCAGATGGATATTTGTTAAGTTCTAACACAGCCAGTTTAGAATTATATGATGTATTATTTGTTATAATTAATCCCTACACTGTAAGTCTCTTAGAGATGTATGTACAATATTTTAAACATGATAAGAAATTGAAATTAGATCATTGAAATCTGTGTCAATCTGTTAATCAAGGTTATCTGATTTTTTTGCACCTTTACCAATTTATGATTATTGAACAATATATTTGACGGGCGTATCATGCTGTGGCGGGGCACTTTATTAGTACACAAGGACATAGTTGAGGTGGGGAGCTTTGGATGCTCATTCCAGATAATTGAACAGGCCAATTAGCTGTAAGCTATAAGGAAGATGCATCCCTTGATGCATACTACCAAAATTGCTTTGCATTCTGAATCTGACCTACATTTCAGATGATTGAACAGCATATTTTTTTTTTAAACAAGTTTTTTCCCGTTAGCCCTTCATGGACTGAAGTTACATAAAACAGATGGTGCATCTACGTACTGATGCCATTTACTGGACTTGCTTGGAATCCTAAACCTGACATATTTTCTGAATGAGTGAACAAGTATGGTTTTAGAGCAGCTGTGATGAGATTAGTATTAATATTTGTTTAGCTGGTATCTTCTTTAAGCTTGTCCATTGCTCTAAAAGTTAGAAAAGGTTTGAAAAACTACATTCTACACTTTATTTCTGTAACTTCGTATAGTCAGTTGATTAGTTGAAAACTTGAACAACTTATTGAGCTGACCCATGCATGTAAAATATTAAATTTCCAACCTAATCCACCTTTATAGAATGAACAAAGCCACTCCTGTAGGTAAAAAACAAATGATCTTAAAATAAACATATTGATTTCAGAAGTGTAATAAGGAGATTCAGACTATATTTAATATTGTACTTTATTTTTCCACATATTGAGCACCTTGTAACGTTTAAATTACTCTATTTCTAACAATCACATCAACAAATACAAAACAAGCACAAATACAGGTACTAGAAATGGACATACAGAGTTGAATTTTCTCCATTTTGGACGGAATGTTCTATTGATACATATACCAGCACAATGTATGTATACATATGTAAGTTCATAATATCCTTACTGCAATATATAATTTTTCCACTTCCTTAGCTGATGAAATGGTATGTTTCTACATAGGAAAAATTCCATCTTAACCTTCTCTACATGCAGTAAAATGCAGCAAATGGAATGGTGAAGTTTTAAATATTTCTTCGATGAGGAAAAGGGTTGAATCTGAGATGCTAATACCGGTAAATTAATTTTACATTTACATTTTAATTAAAGTCCATGTAATCTAAACATATAGGTCCCAAAATACTTGGATTAAAAATTTCAACAGCCCTGAGTATAAATTATTTTGTATGTTGTATCAGTGCACTTCATAATAAAAATATGCTAAAAAGGTGCAAAAATCTTGTGCAAATTTCCAAGACCAAGATAATTGAACAGCAATATTCATCTATGACAAGTCCACAAAAGACTCATTTGGTTGTCTATAAATAGCAAAATGATATAGACATTGTAAACATGTTAAGATTTCCTGTAAAATTGTAGTATCTAAGATGTTTCTAGACAATTCATCCTGTACAATAAGATTTGTGTATCTCTAGGTCCCTTACCCTGGAATACATTTTATCACACTGGGCACATGAGAACATTTCTGTTTTCTGGTAGAGATGGTTATTATGTCGGGGGTGAGGATCAGCAGATTGGGGGTGCTTCTCCTGGGGTGACTTCCTCCTCTCTCGCCCTGAGGGTGGTACAGCCGCTAAAATGAAAGTAACTTGTTCATTTACATATATGATTTTGGC